AGTGGCAGAGCAGCAAGGGCTATATTCAAAGTACAAGGTATTACATTTCCCTACTGTCAATTTCTGCGTTTCATTTCTATGGGAAAATGGGCAACAATATCTCTAAACTACTTCCTGCTGAGAGAAAAGGAAGTTGTTGGGGATGTCATTCTATTTAAATCTTACCAATTAACCTAAGCATAGCTGTGACTTATTTTGGCTAATTAAAATATGTTCTTCTATGTAAATAGTCTTTTTTTTTTTTTTTTTTACTGGGAATCTAACCCAGGGACAATTTACCTCTGAGCTACATATGCAGTCCTTTTTGTTTTTTGAGACAGGGTCTTATTAGGTTGCTTAGGGCCTTGCTAAATTGCTGAGGATAGCCTTGAACTTGCAATTCCGGTATTTTTTTTTTCTTTTTTGTGGTACTGGGGATTGAACCCAGGGCTTTGTGCATGCAAGGCAAGAACTCTACCAACTGAGCTATATCCTCAGCCCTTGAACTTGCAATTCTGTCTCAGCCTCCAAAGCTGCTGGGAGTACAGGTATGCATTACTTTGTCTGACTCTATATGGAAGTCTTAAATGCTAGTGAGGGCTTTTCCACATCCTTTCCTTCTTCTACTGTAGTAACTGAATAGTTGTATCTAGATAGCAGATACTCTCCACCCTGGTCCTGGAGTTAGAACAGTGACAGCTCAGAGCAAAACCTCAGTGAACCCACCATGTACATATGGCAGGAACATAAAATAGATCTTTGTTGCTTAAAGTCATTGGGACCTGGGAAATATTTGTTACTGAAGTATAACCTAGCCTTTAATGATGTACCATATTACAGATTTATTACTAAGATTATATGAAATAAATTGCATGAAACTTCTTGGTGCATAATAAGGCTTGTTTTTTTTCTTCCTTTCAAACTCTCCCTTTTAAGGAGTCATGAGCCCAGGATTATTCTTACCCAATCTAGAGTCCTGCTTGAGAAGTGAGATATCAGGCAATCACTCATTCACAAAAAAGAGAAGGGGAAAGGATATAAAGCAAAAAAGGGTACAGAAATAGACAAAGCCAGGAAGAGAAACAAAGTGATAAAGAAGGAGAGACAAAATATAAGAAGAGAGAAGTACAGAGGATGCCTCCATCCAGACCCTAACTCTAAGAAAAAAACAGCTAAGGCAAACAGAAACTGTATCTATTTGTTTATCCCAACCCCAGGCAAACATCTTTATTATGTTAGGGTTACAAACTAGCTTGACTCTCAGCACCTGGTTGTGTATTTATCAGTCTTTGCTCACAGCTGGCCTGCCCAATGATGGACAGCCACAAGGAATAAAGAGAGAAGGGGAACCAGGCCCTGCATCAAGGAGTTAAAGAGGGTTTTCTGGACATCATGAATCTGAGTCTTGGAGGATAGCTGGGAGGTACCAAGGGCAAGATTCACAAATGGAAAGAGAAAAACATGCAGGGCAGAAGGGCAGGAGCCAGGTAGAGGGCATGAGGAGCTGCAGTTTGGGTTGCTGCTGTCTTGATGAAAGGCAATGGACAGCAGGAGACAAGGCTGGAGAGAGACCCAGGGGCCTATCGCAGAGACGCAAATGTCATGTTTAGACATTAGTCTTTCCATGGACAGGCTAGGGGAGATTTGGACTGTTAAACAAGGAAGTGACAGATTTAGCTTCTGCTAAATTGCTCTGCTCTCTGGGTAAATAGTAGGTTGGGACTGCATCTCTTTGCATGAGGTGTCTTGGGAGTGGGCTGAATGCGCAGCCTAGAAGATGCAGGTGGACAAGATAGCCTCAGAACATCCTAGTCAACGCCGAGAGAGTGGAATAGTTTTATAGGCTCCATCTAGAGCATGTCATCCTCCCCACAATCTGTGGCTTAGATATTTTTCTTTCTTTCTCTCCTTTTCTCTTTCTTTATTGTGAAAACATTAAAAATCTTTTCTTTTAGCTCTTTTTTGACATTTATTTATTTATTTATTTTTGTAATAGAGATTGAAGTCAGGGGTGCTTTACCACTGAGCTATATTCCTGGCCCTTTTTATTTTTTTAGACAGGGCCTTGCTGAGTTGCTGAGGCTGGTCTCAGACTTGTGATCCTCCTGTCTCAGTCTCCCAAGTAGCTGGGATTATAGGCATGTGTCACCACACCCGACTCTTAGCTCGCTGAAATACATGATGCATTATTGTTAACTATAGTCAACCTACTACTATATAGTAACACACTACATCTTCTTAGTACTCATTGATCAAACTTACCCCATCCCACTCTTCCCATTTAGTCTCCACAGACTCTTATATTTACCATCTCAATTTCAACTTTTTAAGATTTCATATATAAGGTGGGCTGGTGATACACACTTGAGATCTCAGAGGCTCAGGAGGTTGAGGCAGGAGGATTGCAAGTTCAAAGCAAGCCTCTGCAACTGAGCAAAGCCCTAAGTAATATAGAGATCCTGTCTCCAAACTATAAAAAAAAAAAAAAATTAAAAGGGCTAGGGGATGTAGTTCAGTGACAAAGCACCCCTGGGTTCAATCCCCAGTTTGAAAAAAAAAAAATCCACATATAGGTGAAATGATACAATATATTTTTTAATTTGACCTACATTTATTTATTTATTTTTCAAAGTGGTGCTAAGGATTGAACCTAGTACCTCACCCAGGCTAGGCAAGCACTCTATCACTGAGCTACAATTCTAGCCCTGACAATATTTTGATACGATACTTGTCTTTCTGAGTTTGGCTTAATAAACTTAATGTAGTTATCTCCAGTTCTATTTATGTCTCAAATGACAGGAGTTCATTCTTTTTATGGGTGAATAGTATTCCATGGTGAATGTTTACTACATTTTTTTTTTATCTATTCATCAGTTGATGGACACTTCAGTTGTTTCTGTTTCTTGGCTATTTTTCAACAGTGCTGTAAAAACACTGGAATGCTGATGCTTCAACAAATGATTTCATTTCTTTGGCTATATGCCCAGAAGTGGGATTGCTGGATTATATAGTAGCTTTATGTTTGTACTTGGGATTGAACTCAGGGGTACTCAACCACTGAGCCACATCCCCAGCCCTATTTTGCATTTTAATTAGATACAGGGTCTCACTGAGTTGCTTAACACCTCACTTTTGCTGAGGCTGGCTTTTGAACTCGCAATCCTCCTGTATCAGCCTCCAGAGCTGCTGGGATTACAGGCGTGTGCCACCATGCTGGGTTTATGTAGTAGCTTTAAAAAAAAAAAAATTTTTTTTTTTTTTTTTGAGAAAGCTTCATAGTGTTTTCCAAAATAATTGCAGTAGTCTGAAATGGTGGCTCATACTTGTAGTCCTGGCTATTCTGAAGATTGAGATGAGAGGATCATTTGAGCCCATGAGTTCAAGACCAGCCTGGATGACCAAAATAACCACTAATTTACATATCCACCAATAGGGTGCAAATGTTCCTTTTGGTCCACATCCTTGCCAGCAATTGTTATCTTCATTGTGTGTATGTGTGTGTGTGTGTGTGTGTGTGTGATAATAGCCGTTATTATCAGAATGGGGTGATATCTCCTTGGGTTTTTTTTTTTTTTTGTATCAGGGATTAAACTTAGGGGCACTGGACCACTAAGCCACATCCCCAGCCCTATTTTGTATTTTATTTAGATATAGGGGGCTGGGGATGTGGCTCAAGCGGTAGTGCGTTCGCCTGGCATGCGTGCGGCCCGGGTTCGATCCTCAGCACCACATACAGACAAAGATGTTGTGTCTGCCGATAACTAAAAAAAAAAATAAATATTATTTAGATATAGGGTTTCACTGAGTTGCTTAGCGCCTCATTTTTGCTGAGGCTGGCTTTGAACTCTCAATCTTCCTGTCTCAGCCTCCAGAGCTGCTGGGATTACAAGTGTGCACTACTGTGCCCAGCTTCTTTGTGGTTTTGAGTGCATTTCCCTGATGATTAGAGATGCTGTGCATTTTTTCATGTACTTGTTATCTATTCATGGATCTTTTTAAAAGAAATGTCTATTTAGGTCTGTTAGTCATTTTGCAATTTAATTTTTTGTTTGTTTGGTTTTTGTTGTTGAGTTCCTTATATATTCTGGATATTAACCTTTGTCAGATGTATAGTTTGCAGATATTTTTCTCTCATCCTGTACATTGAATTTCACTCCATGATTGCTTCCTTTGTTGTATAGATGGGTTTTAGTTTGATCTAGTTTCATTGCTTATTTTTACTTTTGTTTCCTGTGCTTTTGGTGTTGGGTCAAAAGAAGAAAAGAAAAGAAAAATACTTTCTCATTTCAATGTCCTGAAGTAGTTCTCATGTTTTCTTCTAGTAGTTTCATGGCTTTAATTTATTTTGAGTTTATTTTTAAACTGGTGAGAGATAAGGGTCTAATTTCATTCTCCTCTATGTGGTTACCCAATTTCCTCAGCACCATTTATTGAAAAGACTGTCCTTTCACAACACCTGTATTTATTTATTTATTTGGTACCAGGGATTGAACCCATGGGTGCTTTGCCACTAAGCCTCATCCCCAGCTCTTTTTATACTTTTTATTTAGAGACAGGGTCTCACTAAGTTGCTTAAGGCCTCACTAATTTATTGAGGCTGGTTTTGAATTTGTGATCCTCCTGCCTCAGCCTCCTGAGCCGCTGGGCTGGGATTACAGGTATGCACCACCACGCCTGGTCAGCACCTGTATTTTTATCATTTGCATTTTGACTGTGAGGTAATCAGGCACAGAGAGGTTAAGCCATACCTCCCAGCTGCAGAGCTAGCCATAGGCAGATCCACCCTCACACAGCCTGGCTCCAGGATCAGCCTGTAAACACTCTCATCAGGCCTCCCAGAATCTGCTCCTCTTGGGGAAGCCTCTCACAGACGTGGAATTTTGCATTGGCAACAGCTCCAAGTTTATGAAATCTCTCACATAGACGATTTCACAGTAGCCTTGCAACAATAGTTCCTGTGAGGTCGATATTATTCATAGTTTTAAAAAAATCGCCTGAAGAAAATCCAAACGTCAGAGGTTAGGAGGCTGAACTCCTACTCAGACTTGCGTCTTCTGACTCTAAGTCCAGTGCTCAGGCCTCGTGGTATTAGTCAGTTGACGCTAAGGCCAGCCTCATACTCCACATTTTCGGGGTTGAAGGCCAGGGCACTTCTTTCCACTACTACTCAGCTGCCTCCTGTCTAGGAAAATGCTTTTTTGGGCCCAGAGAGACAGCCACAGAGAAATGTGTTGTTGGCATCGATTTCCTATTGTTGGGCAATGGTTTCCGCCATCTGGACCAGGTGACGTCAGTGGTCTGGATTTCAGCCAGTGTTCTTTGGCCCAGGAAACAGACTTCCGGCTGGGTGGGCTCTGAGCCATCTCTGACCTCCTGGAGGGAAGGTCTCTCAAGTTGCCAAGAGAGGAACTGAAAAATGAGATCTCGGGGAAGATTTTACTACAGGAAATCAGGTAAACATGGGAAAGAGAAGTTCGGGGGACCCTGGGGATGGGCGAGCAGGGAGCCCTCCATGGGGTCTGGGGTCTTTCTCAGGGCAAGAGAGGAGGATTCAATGATCACACTAGGAGGTTGAAAATCTTGTGACTAACAGACTCAAGTAAATAGAGGGTGGATGAGAGCAAAGGTAAGCAAAGCTAAGGAAATCTGGGAAAAGATACACAAAGATAAAATGCAGAAGGTTAAACATAGGCCAAGAATAGAATGATGATCCCAATCCTCGTGCACTTTTCTGTGGGCTCTAAATCCTGAACTAAGTGGTAACACAGGAATATAAGCAGCATTTACCTTTTTTTTTTTTTTTTAGCATTTACCTTTTTGAATTACAAAAGTATACCAGTTTAAAAAAAAAAAGATAAATGAATTAAAGTAGAAAGTTAAATTTTCCCCCCACCCACCCTCCCTCATTCCCCACACCTCTCCCGGCCTGGTTCATAAATACTGTTACTCTTCTGAGCTGTTTCTTTCTTTCTTTTTCTTTTCTTTCTTTCTTTTCTGAGCCACATCCCCAGCCCTTTATTGTATTTTATTTAGAGACAGGGTCTTTGCCTCACTTTTGCTGAGGCTGGCTTTGAACTTGTGATCCTTCTGCCTCAGCCTCTGCACCACAGCTCTGGCTCATCTGAGCCATTTCTTCTGTCAATATTCATATCCTTCAATCCTCACAATGACTCTGTGAGGTAAGTACTGTATGCCTCCTTTTGGGGTGATGGACATTGAACTGAGGAGTGCTCTATTACTGAGCTACACCCTCAGTCCTTTTATTTTTTTATTCAGAGATAGGGTTTTGCTAAGTTGCTGTGGCCGACATTGAACTTGGAATCCTCCTTACTCATCCTCCAGAGTAGCTGGGATTATAGGTGTGTGCCCCTGCACCTGGCATTATATCTCTATTTTTAAAAAACTGTGGTAAAGTATATATAAGATTTACCATTTTAACCATTTTTAAGTGTGCAGTTCAGTGGCATGAAATTTTCCCACATTGTTATGCAACCATCACCACATCCATCTCCTGAGTGTTTTCTTCTGTCCTATCTGAAACTCTGTGCCCAGGAAGCAATATCTTCTCATTTCTCATGGGGCTCAGCTCCTGGGAACCACCATTCTACTTTCTGTCTCCTTGAATTTAACTGCCCTAGGTACCTCTCTTAAGTGGACTCCTTGAAGTTTTATTTTTTCCTTATGTGACTGACTTTTATTTCACCTAACTAATGTCTTCAAATTTCATAGCAAGTGTTAGAATTTTCTTTCCTTTTAAGAGTGGATAATAGTCCATTCTCTCTGTCTCTACCTCTTGCATGTTCTTTCTCTTTTGTTTTGCCATTCGTCTATTAATGGGCACAGACTGCTTTTACTTTTTGGCAATTGTGAATAATGCTGCTATGAACATAGGTGTACAAGTATCTATTCAAGTTATGCCTTTATTTTGGTACTGGGGATTAAACCTAGGGATGCTTTATCACAGAGCTACAACCCCAGTCCTTTTATTTTAAATTTTGAGATAGTTTCTGGGGCTGGCCTCTAACTTGAGATCCTCCTGCCTCAGCCTCCCCTGTTGATTACAGGTATACACTACTGCACCTGGCTATGACTTTTTTTTTTTTTTTGGTACCAGGGATTGAACTCAGGGGCACTTGACCACTGAGTCACATCCCCAGCCCTATTTTGTATTTTATTTAGAGACAGTGTCTCACCGAGTTGCTTAGAGCCTCACTTTTGCTGAGGATGGCTTTTTCTTTTTAATTTTTTTTTTTAGTTGTTGTACTTTTTTTTTTTTATGTGATGCTGAGAACCCAGTGCCTCACCCATGTGAGGCAAGCACTGTTCCACTGAGCCACAACTCCAGCCCCTTGAGGCTGGCTTTGAACTCTGGATCCTCCTGCCTCAGCCTCCTGAGCCACTGGGATTATAGGCATGCATCACTGTGCCCACCTGACTTTATTTGTAATAGTAGTTTTATAGAGATATAATTTGCATATTATACAATTCACCTTTTAAAATGTTCTATGAAATGTGTTTATTTTATTCACAGAGTGGTGCAGCCATCACCACAATCAATGCTAGAGCATATTCATCAGCCCCAAAAGACCTCATACCCATTAGAGTCACTTCCAATTTCTCCACAGATCTCTCCCACCCTAGGCACAGCAAACATAATCTACTTTTATCTCTATAGATTTGTTTATTCTGGACACTCTTCCTTCCTTCCTTCCTTCCTTCCTTCCTTCCTTCCTTCCTTCCTTCCTTCCTTCCTTTTCTTTTGGTGTGTGTGTGGGGGAGGTGCTGGGTACTGCATTACATTCCCAGCCCTTCTTTTAAATTTTGGGACAGGGTCTCACTAGATTGCTGAAGCTGGCTCAAGCTTGCAATCTTCCTGCCTCAGCCTCCCAAGTAGCAAGGATTACAGTCCTGTGCCACCACACCCAGCTTGAGACAATTTTTGTCTGGGTTGTGATGTGGGGGTCTGATATCCTTTTTGCATGTGTACATCCATCTGTCCCAGCATTAATATGCTTTTTTTTTAAACAGATGAATAAATAATAAGTTATATCAGAAAAGGCCTGGTTTTGTTGACCATTATCTCCTTGGGATTCACTTAGCACTGTGCAGGACAAATACAAGATGCCCAATAAATACAGGCTGAATGAATGAATATATGAGTGACCGAGACTCAGAGAAATTAATAAGTTACATACGTCAGTCAGCTGGAAAGTGGCCAAACAAGGTTCACACCCAAATCTTTGCATTCCCTTCCTTTCTTCTGCCTGGGTCTTGCTATGTGGCCCAGACATGGCCTTGAACTTGGTGATCCTCCTGCCTCAGCCTCCCAAGTAGCTGGGACTATGGGCATGCGCCATCATGCCTTAATTCATTAATTGCTAATTTGTACTTCTAAATTTCCTAAACTTTCTTAAGTTACCAAAAGTTCTTTGCCACAAGAAACCAGATTTCCTCCAAATTCCATTTGCTGCAGCTCTCTATGTTATGACAATTATTCCATTGTGAACAATCAAACTTCTCAAATATGGTGTTTGTTTCCCTCTTCCCTGTGGCTCCTCTCCTACCCCAGCCACAAAGATTCCGCTTCCTTCTATGGTGGTTTAGTAGTTGGAAAGTTCTAAATATCTGACCAAGCCTCCTGCTGTACAATTGTGCCGTAAATCTTTATGAGTGTTTGTGTAACAATTTTTACAGGAGCTGGTGTGCTGTGGGAGGCATTTGGGGTATGCAGGAAGCTTGGTGCGCTCTGCCCTGTGTGAAGTGCAGCCTTGTGAAGCCAGATGTCCTTGCTATGGGCTTGATATGCTCCCTTTGGGGGCCTTAGTTTCTGATTCTGGGTATTGCTGCTATTTTGGAGGAAAATGAAGCCAGGTGACATAAACCCCAGCTATAGAAAAATGTGTTGAATTCACCTCTTGGAATCAGGACCAGGGATAAATTTGAAGGGAGGGGTCTAAAGTTAAGCAGAAGCTGGGGTAAACTGGATTGATTTACCTGCCCCCACCTCAATAGTGTAAGTTTGGGCTCCCCCCATTGGAATCTTTAGAAAAATCTTTTAACTATAGGAAAATTAGGAAGAGGCAGGAGGAAAAAAAAAAGAATATTTATTTATTTATGGTACTAGGGATTTAAACCAGAATGCTGAACACTCTACCACTCAGCTATACCCCCAGTCCTTTTTTTCTTTTCTTTTTTTTTTTTTTTTGAAACAGATTCTCACTAAATTGCTGAGGCTGGCCTCAAACTTGTGATCCTCCTGCCTCAGCCTCCAAGTCACCAGGATTTGCTAGCATAGTGGGCAAGAAAGAGTATTTATTGATAGCTTGCTCAGAGTATATTTATGTAGCTCATATTATCCTCAAAGTAATCCTATAGGTAGGTATGATCAATCCTATCTTGCAAGTTGGATGCCGAAACTTGCCCAAATGCACACAGTGATTTAAGCCTGGAGCTTTCCTGACTCCTCCAAGTCCATACTCTTTCCAGTACCCTGAGCCAAAGTAGCCAGCATGCAGAAACAGCTCTGAGGTCCCCTCCCTTCTTCCCTCCAAGGGATCTATTACTCATTTTGTCAAGACATCTTGGAACCTAGGGAAGCTCTTGTGATTTGTCTGAACCAGTGGGTGTTCTGGAGCTGGCTCCGGCCAGCTGGTGAGAGTGGCTGTTAAACCTTCAGGAATTTGGAAGCTGCTTATTCCACTGTTAGTGGTTGGAAATCTGTCATGGAAGGGCTGTTTCTATCATTTTATACCATAAAAATTGGTAATTGGTATAAATTGGGGACCCCCACCTCCGCCACGGGCTGATTTATCAGCATATCACTATCCTGGACTTTTCTCTTGAGGTCATAAATACCCCTAAGAGCATTAACCTTAGGACAGGGCCTTTCCCCACTGGTCACAACCTGTCAGCTGCAGGCCAAGGAACCAAGGAAGTATGGACACATCTGCTAGGGAATGAGGAAGTGTGAGAGAGAAGAGGCTATAGAACATTCGTTATTTATACATCAACCAAATACCAATGTTTTTATTCATGGGGATTTCTTGGGGGAGGGGTTTATGGTTGTAATTAGAGCATAAAAGGGGAGATCTAATTCATGAGGAAACTAGAGATGTGCCCCATGGGGGTGGAGCTGTGTAACATGGGGAGAGGGTGCCTCCTCTTTTGTGGAAGATGGTAGACCTTGAGCCTGGGGTCCTGTAGTGGGAAGCAGTTTGTAGACCATATTCCCCACCAACTACAGTTGGGATCTTTTTGCCTGCCTGGTGGTGCCCTGTGTCTGACAGGGCTCCCAGATGACCAGGGGCTACAGGGGCCTGCGGAGAGCAGAAAACTTTGAGCACCAGGAGAATAAAGTTCCAAATCTCACTCTGACTCTGCTTTGGGTCATCTCCATCTGAAGACTAGAGTCAGAGGCTGTAGATCCTGCTTTAGATGCTGCAAAGAAGTAGTGACCTCCCATAATAAAAGAATCCTTCATGGTGAGCTGTGGAAGGGAGCATCTCCATGAGAGGAAGCCATGTCCAAAGAGGTTTCCCTGTCCCTTTGGGGGGTGGGGTGCGGGGGTGGGGAAGATCAGGGATTAAACCCAGAGGGATTTACCACCTAACTGCCTCCTCTTCCCTTTTGACTTTTTACTTTGAGATAGAGTCTTGCAAAATTTCTTTGGGCTTCACTAAGTTCCTAAGGTTGGCTGTAAACCTGCAATCCTCCTGCCTCAGCGTCCTGAGCTGCTAGGATTACAGGTATGTGCCACTGTACCAAGCTCCTTGTCACTTTAAGTTTAAGAGCAAGCACAGCTACACTGCAGGGACCTGGAATAATTGAATAGGTTTTCCCCAAATGCCCAGGGCTAAGAAAAGTCAAAGAGAAGCATTGTGCAGCAGGTATCCAGATAATCTCATTCTCAGCCCACAGGCAGCTACAGTAAAACCCCTTCCTTGCTCCGGCTGGCTGCCTCCTTCCAAAGACGCCCTGATTCTGACCAGAGTGGTGAGCTCCAGGCTCCCTGGAGTTGGTGAAATATTTACTTCCCTATGTCTGCCTGGTGCCATAAAGTCCATCTCAGAGACCTTTATTATTTCCAGGTGTATGATCTTATCCTACCTGGAACGGGAAAACTGGCCTCCAGGTAACCAAGCCCTATACAATGAGAGATAGAGTGGGGGTTTTGTCATTTGTTCCAGGGGTTGTTGACTCTCTTCTGATTGAGATCAAGGGGCCCCCTGAATTGGATGGGTGTGCCCAGAGCAAGACCTGTGAGACTCATGTGACATTTGGGATTCCTTAGGCTCTTCTGTAGGGCAGGCTCCCACCTGTCAGTATGGTCTCCAGGCGGAGGCTGGCCTAGGCAGACCCCATGGGCAGGGTGGGCAGGCAGACAAAGAAAGGTGTGTGCAGTGGGAGGGAGCCTTGAATTCGAAGGCTGCAATTGTCTGCAGGCAGAGGTTAGTCAGTGCTCTGTGGCACAGAGACAGGTGATCAGCCTGAGATAAAATAATACGGGCTGGGCCCCAATCCTGCACCAACTTGGTGCTTGTTCATATCCATTCATTCAACCAAGGTTTACTAAGTGTCTCAGCTGCCAGGTTCTATAGAAGACACTGGATGCAGCAGGGAACAGGACACCCCATTTTGCTTCCCTGGAGATCACAGAACAGTGGAAAGAAAGACATCTAGTAATTGAAGGGCAATGAGTGTAATAAAAGAAGTACAGGGTGTACAAGGTGGCATCTACTTTAGTCTGGGGTGACAAGGAATGCCTGGTGAAGAAGATATCAGTTAAGACATACCCAAGCAATTAGCAGGTATGAATTACAAGCTCCAAAAGAATAGGGACCATGGCTGTCTTGTTTACTAGAGCCAATAATAGCTGGCATGCAGCAGGCACTAGGACATTTTGTTAAAAGGATCAGGGAATCTACCCAAATAAAGGGTGTGTGTGTGTCTGTGTGTGTGTGTGTGTGTGTGTGTAGTTTTTCTTTCCCTTAAGCTCAGTAAGTAATCAGCCTTTGTAAAAGTGCTGATGCTGTATCTAACTAATAATAGATGAGAGAGTTATATAATGTGATGTACATTATTAGAGGTAACGTACTAATAAAACCAGCCCTGCCATAGGTTTCCTTCCTACTTGGGTCTGAACCATGAGTCTACCACATACTAGCTATGAAAGCTTTAGTGATTTGCCTCCTTTTCCCTGTGTCTCTGTTTTCTGTGAATTCCATTTCCAGTATTATGAAGATAAAATCCAATGTCTATAAATTATTTGGAGTATTATTATAGTCAATACTTGATAGCCACAATTATTTATGTACACCAAGTTTACTATCAACTATCAATTATCAAGAGGACTTTGATATTTACAAAAAATACATAAATATGATCAACCTGGATATCATTAAGCAAGAGGCAAATGATGAATCAAGTTGGAAGTGAAGGGAGGGTGTGTATATAGCATTAGATAATATCTGTATATAAAGAGGATGAGCTCTAGGAAGATGAATCTGGAGCCTTTGTTCTTGGTTAGGGGCTCCGGGCTTGGCATGGTTACCGCTCCCTCATGCCCATCTTGCTTACTAACAAAACAGTCTTGTTCCAGGAATTCAGAATCTTCCAGCCCCGGAAACCCATTCTGGATGATGGATCCTGAAATGAACGGGTGGTTGATGTGTACGCTCCTTTGGCCATATTTGCAGGAGGAAGAGCAGAACTTTGTATGACCTTTAACAAAAAGCACTGGAGAGCTTTATGAATCTTCAGAATCTTCTGGGGTTTTCTCAATTGTGTTTATACCGGGAGGCTGCTGCTTCCTGTTTGCGTTCTCTTACCACAAGTTAACGGCTGTTCCTACTTTCACTTAAGTTTCTATCTTGTTCTGTGAGAAATGTTTGAGCTGGCTGGGTGCCGCAGTCCGGCTGCAAACACTTCCTGAAACAACTTCTTAAATCTCTCTCCAAATACCTGCATTTATTGTGAATTAATAAAATTGAGCTATCATCAAGATCAAAATGCCAGTCTTTAAATTACCCCAATTTAAAAATGCCTAAAAACCTATCACTTTCTCAGAATTCTTCCATTAATTCCATTACTTCTATTCGAAATGTGTTAGCAGTGACTTTCTTTTTGGACAGTTTCACAAAGAAACAAAGTCTTTAAAAAAAAAGTTGTATCTGGTAGGTTCCAGCCCAGGGAACCACCCATTAAGAAACACACAGCTGCTCTGGGGATCTGGGTGGTCTCATCACCCCAGTCACACATAGCCAAGCAGCACAATTCTTGCCTGTGCCTCAGCAAACCTGGTGCTCCCACTTATCCTGGGAGCTTCACGGACAATCTAATCAAACCAGAAAGGTCAAATTGGCAGATGCCACACGCACTCTGCTGAATATCCATAGCAAGGAGATGAGAACCAGTAATAAAGCTATGCACGCCATTATTGCTTCATTGATCCACTGAATAATTCTAGATATGATTGGTTGTAGCTACAGAAGTAATGTCCATTGTGCATTATATGGGTATTTTAGTGTGTGTGTATTTTAGCCAAATTAATGAAAACAGTTCAAATGTTGCTTCTTCACTGGTGACAGACAGAACACATATAGTTTGCTTCTTTACCTCCCAAGTAAATTCCTCTACTTTGTCACTGTCATTATGTCATTATTTTTTTTGGGGGGGGGGTAGTTATAGGCAATTGAACTCCAGGGCACACAACCACTGAGCCACATACCCAGCCTTTTTTTTTTTTTTTGTATTTTATTTAGAGACAGGGTCTCATTGATTTGCTTAGCACCTTGATGTTGCTGAGGCTGGTTTTGAACTTGCAATCCTCTTGCCTCAGCCACCCCCTAGCCTCTGGGATTATAGGAGTGCACCACCACACCTGGCTTCATTATGTCATTGAATCTTTTTTTTTTGGGGGGGGGTGCTGGGATTGAACCCAGGGCCCTGTACATGGAGGCAAGCACTCTACCCAATGAGCTATATCCCCAGCCCCATGTCATTGAATCTTGAAGGCATGATCCTTGTTAGGAAATGAGGGAGAAAATATAATTGCTCTATAGTCACCAATAATATTGTGACTTCTCCTAAACAAATTCACCCGATTTTCAGTCTTATGCGTTTATTATAAAACTTACAAGGTAGAACAAGCCTTTGCTTAGAGAAATGGTTCATGTGTTGCTTGCTGGAGTTCCTGCAAAGAAAGACCCAAGGTAGTAGATGGCCAGAGGAGACACTGGGAAGGGAGCAGTGGCTGGTCATGGGTCATATCAAGTACAAAGCTATGACTGGAGAAGTTTGGCATCTTCTGAATGTATTTTGCAAAGATGACAAATTCCTTTAGCTAGGCCTCTGCCTAAAGGTGAACTGGAAGAACATGTGCTCTTTGAGTTAAGGAACTCCTTGGTCTTCCAGTGACCTCTGACTCCCACATCAGACTGAGACTGTCTCTCAGCATCTTTGCAACACATTGCATGAAACTTTGGTTATTACATATAACTGCCAAGTACTTGAAATAGGAAATAGGTCAGAGACATGTACCCAAGAAGAGGAAGTGAGGTTGCCCTGAAGAAAAGGAAGTCGGGGGCTGTTACCCCTTAGATTCTTGAAGGTATGCGGGATGATGCATACAAAGGACCTAGCCCAGAATCTGGAAGAGAGTAAGAACTCAATAAATATTTAATTTTTATAATTATTATCTATTTACCAGCTATAATCTCCTTGGCTTCATGTGTCCAGTGATATTTCTCCACTTGCCCATTCCTGCCTTTTCTTGAGTCATTAGGTTTCTTAAATTCTTCTTTACATATCATATCCAATAAAGTAAAAGAGCTCACAACAGCAAGGGACCTCAAGAGATCAAGTAGTCTGGCTCCTGGTCTTGGGTAGGTAAGGTATTATTTTTCCTTCTTACAGAAGAAGCAATTGAACCTAGGAAAAGCTAAGTGATTTGAGACTATGGTAGGCATAGGTGGAGATAATGGCTGATTTCTGTGTTTTCTGACTTAAGCTGGGGACAGGGTTTACCTATTTTCAAAGTAGAGCCTTGGTGTGGTGTGTGTGTGCCTGAAATCCCAGCTATTCAGGAGGTTGAAGCAGGAGGAGCACCAGGGGTACTCATTGCTACTGGACTAGTCGTTTTTTTTTTTTTTTTTCCTAGGACTTTCTAGTGGGAAGGAAATACAAACACATAGCCAGGCATGGAGGCGCACATCTGCAATCCCAGCAGGCTTGGAGGCTGAGATAGGAGAATCATGGGTTCAAAGCTGGTCTCAGCAAGACCCTGTTTCTAAATAAAACCACTGAGGATGTGGCTCAGTGGTTGAGTGGCCCTGAGTTCAATTCCTGGTACCAAAAACAAAAAACAAAACCCAAATATATATGTTTAAGAATAGTATCATCCTTTGTTTATGCCAATATTTCCAATGCAAAAAGAAGCTCTCAGTTGGGCCTGGTGGCACATGTCTATAATCCCAGTGACCTGGAGGCTGAGGGAGGAGGATTGCAAATTCAAGGCCAGCCTCGGCAATTTAGGGAGGCCCTAAGCAACTTACTAGATCCTGTCTCAAAATAAAAAAGTGAAAACACTGGGGGTGTAGTTCAGTGTTTAAGTGCCTCTAGGTTCAATCTCTGTTACCAAAAGTGAGTAAGTAAATAAATAAATATAAATAATTTGTTTTTAAAGAGGATTGTAGCACAGTGATACAAGCCTATAATTCTAGCTACTTGGGAGGCTGAGGCAGGAAGACACATACATGTTCAAGGCTAGCCTGGGTAACTTAGCAAGATCCTGTCTCAAAATAAAACTTAAAAAAGACTTAGGGTGTAGCTCAGTGGTAAAGCACTTGTCTAGTAAGTGCAAGGACCTTAGCTCAATTCCTAGTACCATTAAAAAAAGAAAGAAAGAAAGAAAGGAAAGAGACAGTATATTTTTACATAACTTCATATATCTTACATCTATTCTTGCTTCCAGCCAAATAGTTCAGCTCCCAAACACACCCTTATTTTCTTTATTCCTCAATAATTACACATAAATTTTTAATGCCAGCATCAGTATTATCACTCTCAATATGATAGTGAAACTATATTTTTAGGTTTTCTTCCCCTTTGTCTTTAGAGTCTATCTGACTAGGAATATACTACAGTCAAATTGCTGTAGTTTAAAGTTGTTTGAAATGTTTTTTTTTTTTTTTTTTCTTCTGAGATAATCGCTGTGTAGATGATTTGTTTTTCCTTTTTCCTTTTTGGTGCTGGATATTGAACCAAGGACCTAGTGTACAGTAGGCAAGAACTCTACCATTGAGTTCTAGGACTTTCTAGTGGGATGGAAATATACTAGAATTTTTTTTTGGCAGTACTTGGGATTGAACCCAGGACCTTGCACATGCTAGGAAAGTGCTCTACCACTAAGCTACATTCCCAGGTCTAGATTCTTTTCATCTTGCTTTTGATTTTTAGGAAATGCTTTTTAAAGTTAACTTTGTTTCTAATTATCTAAAATATTTACATAGTTCCAAAATCAGATCTCCCAAACAAGGTATAGCCTCTATCTCTCTCCTCTTTCTCATAGGGGGGCATATTTAAAAAAAAAAAAAATTAGGGGCTGGGATTGTGGCTCAGCAGTAAAGCGCTCGCCTAGAATGAGTGGGACCCGGGTTCGATCCTCAGCACCACATAAAAATAAAGGCATTGTGTTGTGTCCATCTACACCTAAAAAGTAAATATTTTTAAAAAATTATTTTATTTAGATCCTGGGCTGGGGTTGTGGCTCAGCGGTAGAGCACTTGCCAACACATGGGAGGCCTTGGGTTCGATCCTCAGCATCACATAAAAATAAATAAAGGTATTGTATCCAACTACAACTGGAAAAAAAAAAAAAAAAGATAGGATCCTAACATGTTTTCCAGGTTTGGGTTTTTTTGTGTTTTATTTTATTTTAGTACCAGGGATTGAACCTAGAGGTGCTTAGCTCTGAGCAACGTCCCCTCCCCTCTGCCTTTTTATTTTTAGACAGGATCTGGATAAGTTGCTTAGGGCCTCACTAAATTGCTGAGACTGCTTTGAACTCATGATCCTCCTGTCTCAGCCTCCTGATCTGCTGGTGTGCACCATCAGGCCGGCTCCAGGTTGGTTTTGAACTCCTAGGCTCAAGCAATTCTCCAGTCATAGCCTTCTGAGTAACTGGGACTACGGGCATGTGCCACCATACCCAGCCCTTCCTTACTTCCCTTTTTTTTCTTTTTCTTTCTCTCTTTTTAATGCTGGAGATTGAACTGAAGAGCGCTTTATCACTGAAGTATGGCCCCCTTCCTTTTTTATTTTTTAATGTTGAGACAGGATCTCACTAAATTCTGAGGCTGGCCTTGAACTTGTGATCCTTCTGTCTCAGATTCCTGGGATTATAGACGTGTGACATTATGCCCAGCATTGCATCTTTCTTTTTTTTTGCTTTATAATATATGCTGGCTTTCACTCCATAGCAGTGTATAGAGATTTTCTTTTCTTTCTTTCTTTTTTTAAAAAAATATTTTTTAGTTGCACATGGACACAATATCTTTTTTTAAATTTATTTTTTTATGGTGCTGAGGATTGAACCCAGTGCCTCCTATGTGCCAGGTGAGCACTCTACCACTGAGTCACAACCCCAGGCCCCATAGAGATTTTCTTGATTCTGTTTTTATGCTCTGTGGTGCTTTTTTTTTTTTTTTTTTTTTTTTTTTAAGAGAGAGAGAGAGAGACAGGAGAGAAAGAATTTTTAATATTTATTTTTTAGTTTTCGGCGGACACAACATCTTTGTTTGTATGTGGTGCTGAGGATCAAACCCGGGCCACACGCATGCCAGGCGAGCGCGCTACCGCTTGAGCCACATCCCAGCCCCTCTGTGGTGCTTCATATTTAGTTTAACCAGTCCTTATTGTTAAATATTTGGATTGTTTCTAGTCTTTTGCTATTAAATGGCTGCAATAAATAGTCTATGCAAATACTTTTTCACTTTTTTTTTTTTTTTGTGGTACTTGGGATTGAACCCAGGACCTTGCACATGCGAGGAAAGTGCTCTACCACTAAGCCACATTCCCAGCCCACTTTTTCACATTTTTGCCAAAGATTTTCTAGTACTGATTTCTAGAAGTGGTATTGCCAGTTTGAAGAGGAAATACATATGTAACTTTGTTAAATATCGCCAACCAAATTCCTCTTCCTAGGAGTTGCTTCATTTTGCAACTTACTAGAGTACCTGTTTCCTTGAAGCTTTGCCAACTAAGTGTGTTGACATTTTTTGGATTTTTGTCAATCTGATAGATAAAACGTGAGTCTAACATTTTGCAGGTTTTTGTTTTGTTTTTGTGGTACCACAGATTGAACCCTCAGGTGCTTAACTACTGAGCCACATTCCTAGCCCTTTTTTAAATTTATTTTCATTTTCGGATAGGGTCTCTCTGGGACTTGCTAAGTTGCTGAGGTTGGCTTTGAACTTGTCACCTCCTGCCTCAGCCTTCTGAGCTGGTAGGATTACAGGCATGCACCATTGAGCCCAGTTTAGTATGGTTTTGATTTGTTTTTTTCTTGTTAGAAGCAAAGTTGAACCAGGAGTGATGCTGAGGGAGGATTGCAAGTTCA